AAATAAAAGAAAGTTTTCAATAAACAACAGTTTCCAGAAAGAAACTTTTTAGAATGTTAAGGAGAAATTCATAATGTATACCACAAGATAATATTAATGATCATCAAAGCAATTAAAAGCAAAAATTATGATTAATAAGTAATTTTAGCAGTTATATTGAATATATTCATTCATTTTTGTGCTCCTAGACAGATCCATATTTAGTATAATGACTTGTAAAATGCTATTTTCATTATTGAACAGTTATTTGTCCAGGATGCAGTATAATTATGTTCTCTTTCCTTGTATTTTAGAATGAAGAGGCAGCACGGCGTCTCATCTGGGAAAAGAATCTCAAGTTTGTTATGCTTCACAATCTGGAGCATTCAATGGGAATGCATTCATATGATCTAGGCATGAACCACTTGGGAGACATGGTAAGTAAATTACAAATAACCCTACTTTCATGTCCRGGTAAGCAGAATTTCTATCTCTCCAAAAGCGATTTGAAGGTAAATAGCCACAAAGGTGAGTGTAGCCAGGGCTGCAGGTGCAGTTCAGTGGGAGAGCTCTTGCCCAGCATTCATGAGTCCTTGCTTCAATCCCTAACCCTGCAAGAAAAAAAAAAAAAAAAAAAGGCAAGAGAATATAGCCACATGCATTCCAAGTGTGAAAACAGTAAATTTACTGTAACCATGTCCTTGTTTAAAGGAATTTTAAACTCACAGTCTTCAATGGATTTTTTTAAAAGAATTTAACCTTTATTTTTTATTTATTTGTATTTCATGTGATGCTGAGGATGGAACCCAGTGCCTCACACATGCTAGGCAAGCGCTCTATCCTAGCCCCACTATGTTTTTTTTTTTTTTAATGGATTCTAGAAAGCATTTTCTAAAGATTTTTCAGTCTTTTATAGTAACTTAACATATTTATGAAAGTCTAAATTGGCTAATATTATCCCTTGCTTTCTTTTTAATTTTTTTTTAATATTTATTTTTTAGTTTTTGKCGGACACAACATCTTTGTTTGTATGTGGTGCTGAGGATCGAACCTGGGCCGCACGTATGCCAGGCGAGCGCGCTACCGCTTGAGCCACATCCCCAGCCCCCTGATCCCTTGCTTTCTTAGTGGGAGCATGTGAGAACTTAGTGTCATAGATAATCTCTTGTTAGGCTTTTATTTTTTAGATTTTGTAGCGCTGTGGACTAAACCCAGGGCCCTGTGCATACTAAGCAGGCACTCGACTACTGAGCCACCTCCATAGCCCTCCCTTAGTTTATTTTTTTCTTTCTTTCTTTCTTTCTTTTTTTTTTTTTTTTTTTTTGTACCAGGGATTGAACTCAGGGGAATTCAACCACTGAGGCACATCCCCAGCCTTCTTTTGTATTTTTTATTTAGAGACAGGGTCTCACTGAGTTGCTTAGCGCCTTGCGTGTGCTGAGGCTGGCTGTGAACTTGCGATCCTCCTGTCTCAGCCTGCCCAGCGTCTAGGATGACAGGCGCTGTGCTTTTGCACCCAGCTCTCCACTAGTTTTTAATCTCCTTTTTTACCCTAGGAAACTACCATTTGGGTCAGAATTAAGAATCACAATACTTTTTGGAAGGAATCCCCCTTGTAGACCAAATTCTTACTTAACTGCAGGAATTTCCTTTGTAATGCTTTCTCACAAGGAAAACCAAATTTGGCCTGCTTTTTAGACAGCATTTTTATAAAATTATGTCTTAGTTTGAACCAAACATCTGACTCCGTGTAACTTCTAGTTTTTACCATTTTCTTTCTCTTCTTCCCAATGCAAGTGCTTAGCTAACTGGGATGCTAATGTAAAGTGCAACACCAAAAACCCAGATAATCCACTCTACTATCCAACAGTACCTAAGTTGGTCACTACCATTATGATCTTTCTCAGTTTGAGAATATATTCACATTTACAGTTTATAGGGCATTAAAAAGAAGAATTAAGTAAAGGGGGACATATGTTTGCTTTGTAGACCAGTGAAGAAGTGGTGTCTTTRATGAGTTCCCTGAAGATTCCCAGTAACTGGCACAGAAATGGCACTTACAAGTCAAACCCTAATCAGAAATTGCCAGAGTCTTTCGACTGGAGAGAGAAGGGGTGTGTGACTGAAGTCAAATCCCAGGTGAGTGTTACCATCCCAGCCTCTGCCCCTCAAGAGAGCTCTCTCTTTCTGTCTAGCTGCACAATCTGGCAGTGACTCTCTTATGTGTCTTTCCAATTGTTTCTGTACTTGTTTCCCCAACTAAATTTTAAGCCCCCGAAGGCAAGGGTCACTTACTGTACTCTATTTGTTGTCCCCACAGCTCTTCKAACACAGTGGTAATACAGCTACCTTAGACAAAAACTATGAACTATGTCATTAGATTTATCAAACAAACTTTTAGTGCTCATGACATTCATTGATTGCACTAGACCCACCATCAAGCCATTTGCTAGAGAGTCACCAGGAGTGTGAGATCACTCTCCATCTAACTTCTGAATTTCAGGGTTGAAGGTGAGGAAAGAACTAGAGTTAGACTGACCTACAGATTGTACAGTCAAGTTAATTCAAAGCTAAGTTTGCATTGTTAAAATAAGAAATCTGTGTTTTGTTAAATGGATGTTCCTATGTTGTATTTTCCGTGAGTTTTTTTTTTAAACCTACAAAAATCCTAAGTTAGTCATAGGTAACTACGGGTAGAACACGTGTCACCTTAGAAGTTAGGGTAATGGAGAAGAAACAGCATTCTAAGTAGCTGCCCGAGCTTATGACAAATGAAGAAAGTAAAAGGTACTACTCGTATTCTTTCCAACTCATATATTTTTCTTTCAACTAGTTTTGGGTTTCTTACTCAAATTTCTCTAAAAACAGAAGTTTGGGAAAACCCAAAGACCTACATTTTTAGCTATTAACTCTGAGTATGAGCTCCTTTCCCTGGTGCTTGCATTTTAATGACCAAATTTTCTTTAACCCAAAGCAATTTCAATCTGTTCTATTGCATAAACATCAAGGAGGAAGGGGAGGAGAAAAGAGAGAGGGAAAGAGGAGAGGGAGAGAGAGAGAGAGAGAGAGAGAGAGAGAGAGAGAGAGAGAGAGAGAGAGAGAGAGAGAGAGAGAGAGAGAGAGAGAGAGAGAGAGAGAGAAACACAAGCAATTATGATGGAACTCTGTATCCTCTATACCTTCTGTTAACTAAAGCAGATTTGTGGTTTTCTGTTTGTTTATACCTCCCTAAAAAATAGCTTCTGAAAACACTTCTAAGGATAATAATGTAAAATGTTTACCTAGTATTAAAGGTCTTGCTTTCAGGCATTATTTGACAGGAGGGAGGGTACCCTAAGGCAAAAAAATCATTAAGTCACTCAAAATCACTTAACTGGGCTGGGCTTATAGCTCAGTRGTATAGAGCCCTTTCCTAGGATGGGTGAGGCTGTGGTTCCATCCTCAGCACCACATTACAAACAAAAAACAAATAAATAAAATAATGGTTAAATTCTTTTAAAAAATCACTTTATTGTGGACATCTAACCCCCTTCTTCATAGTTGAAGACAGGTGAGATCTGGCACATGCTCAGTGAATATTAATYCTTAATATATTTGATTATGCCCATTATGTTCTTAGCTCAGCCATTTGTAAGTCTCCATCAAGGTTGGATCTTATCTAGAGGACAATCAAATATTTTGCTTTCATTCCCATTGTCTAAGAGAGAAGGAAAGTAAAGTAGGGGATCCCTTCTTGGGAACTATTGACAGAGCTAACCTAACTTGGAGTTGCCCAATTTTTGTTATGGAAGCCATCTATCAGGAGCCRCTCTGGAAATACTCGCCCTTAAGTYCTGAGAGAGAGMTACTGAACAGTGCCCTGCAACAACTTGGGCTTTACCTCCACTGGGATGATGAGGCATGGCTCCAGAGTAGGTGTCACCAGGTGGGGATGAGTTACCCTCACCTGCTCCTTTGTAATCCTACCCCTTTGCCCTTTTGGGGATAGGGCACCTCCCCTTGTGTGTCCCTATATAAGAAGAAAGAATTCCAGTAGCTCTCTCTTTTCCATGGACCCCTAAGGTCGGAGAGCTGTCCCGGATTTTGAAAAGGCACTTCTGTGTGTTTGCGTGCTTTCTTCACCGTTTTCTTAAGTTGTTGGAATAGTCAGATTTGTGAACCCAGCACAGGTTGCCAGCTAGGATAGATGGCAGTAGCCACCCTTACTGTCTATTAATGTGGTGTGTCATTGTCTCTGTTTTAGGGTTCCTGTGGTGCTTGCTGGGCTTTCAGTGCTGTGGGAGCCCTAGAAGCACAAGTGAAGATGAAAACAGGAAATCTGGTCTCTCTCAGTGCCCAGAATCTGGTGGATTGTTCAACTGAAAAATATGAGAATAAAGGCTGCAATGGTGGCTTCATGACGGAGGCTTTCCAATACATCATTGATAACAACGGCATTGAATCAGAAGCTTCCTATCCCTACAAGGCCATGGTGTGTCACAGGCAAACTCTGGTTGCTGCCCCATGACCTCATATTATCTGTGTACTGACTACACCACCAAGCCAACTGATGGAGAAGCAGTGTGGGTGTAAAAGAAAGAGAACTCCAATCGGGAACCCTCCAGTTCTCAAGACTTCTCTTTCTTATGCAATAACCTTTTTTTGTTTTTTTAAAGAGGCACTGGGAATCAAACCCAGGACCTTGTACTATATCCCCATCCTTTATGCAGTAGCCTTTTWAATTTATTAGTTGCACAATGTTTATTAAACAAACAAGTAGCATTCATACTTAACCACAGACTTTAAGCATACCATCCTTAAAATTCTTTGTGTATCTGCCTAATATTAAACTTTCTTGTTCTGCAGCCTACCATATTCAACCTTATTCTCTCAAACCATAACCAGATCATTCTTCTACCTACTAAAGAAACTCAATAATGTTCTGTTTTTCTTGCAAGTTTGTTACATATATTGTTAAATAAGTCATTGTGCATATTGCAGAAAATTTTAAAAAGAATAATATCACTCARAAACCTCCCTATCTTAACTACTATTGTTTTGGTTTATTTCTCTCAAGCTCTTTTCCTGTGAAGCACCTAAAATATAGTTGCATGTACCACAACCATGAATTCATAATCTCCATTTTCCTACTTAAAATATACTGTTTTCCATATTATATGATCTTGTAAACCATCATTTTAACTGCAAATCATTTTGCATGTATTATATCATCAAAAAGACTTTAAGGTTTCAATCTAAAGTTTATGATATAGTATTACCACTACAATACACCTCAGAGTATGAGTTGACATTGCCTGGCGAGTTTTGCATGTATGAAGATGTTCACAATTTAAAACCATAGAATAATTCTATATTACCTCTGTCATAGATGAAATCTGGAACCATTAGGACTCAGACAATTTAGATTTTCTTTCTTTAAAAATTAGAGGGTGTCTTAGACACTTGAAAAGGTTAAAGTGAGGGGCTGGGGATGTGGCTCAAGTGGTAACATGCTTGCCTAGCATGTGTGAGGCACTGGGTTGGATTCTCTGCATCACATAAAAATAAAATAAAGATATTGTGTCCACCAAAAAATAAATAAATAAATAATTTTTTTTAAAAAAAGGCTAAATTGAGCAAAGAAAACATATTTCACAGGACATAGGTGGATTACTGTAATTCTAGCAACTTGGGAGGCTGAGGCAGGAAGATCTCAAGTTCAAGGCCAGCCTCAGCAATTTAGCAAGGTCTTAAGCAACTTAGCCAGATCCTGT